ATTGAATTTCGTAAATAACTGGGAGTCAACGTAATTGATGTAGAACAGGGGTAATATGGTTGAACATTGAAACAAGCAGCCTCTCATAAAACAATCCCGATATTCATAAAAGTTCATGATTGGTTTATTATTCAATCAGTAGTGCATGGCAAATATTAAATTAAATAATATTCTAGAACAAATTATAAACAAGGACTTTTCAGAGCTAAAAAAAACTTCGGTTTTTGTAATCCAACATCAATCTTTTGACATTTTCCTCAAAGCAGCATTATTTTAAGAAGTTTTAATACAAAGTGAAAATGCAGGTTGATTGAAAACCAAGTGGCATCAATATTAAAATACTGTAGAATACTTTATTTTTGCTATTTTCGCTGAAGGATGATTCTGTGAAAATAAAATCCTTTTTTTCCTATATTTCACATTCAACTCATCAAAAATTAGTGAAAATAAATTTCATAAAGAACACCCAAAAAGCCTTTTCAGCGAAAATTAATTCCAGCGAAAATAAAGTATTCCACAGTATTAGAGAAAGGAAAGGCCACGGGAAAACTGTCTACATTTATCAACCATCTTTATTTTCCCTTGAAAATACAAAAACAAATTTGTAAACAGATAAACTTACATGATCTCAAAAAAAAAAATTACTTCAATAATTTATTCATCTTATCTTACCCTTAACAAGCAGCCTATTGGCTGATATAGCTTTGCTGATTCAGATGCATAATGAGTAAGGATATCAGAGCAACCCGTCTAGTGAAGGAAATGACTGGCTGAGCAGTTTTTAAGAACAAGTAGAAAATAACATGTTTTTACCAAAAATTAGAAAGATATTCATTAAAATTAGACAATTAAAAAATCCTCACAAAATCTGATCGAGGTCAACCCGAGGTCAACACATACAATATGAAAAGAAATCTGGCTAGCAGTTTTCATTAAGAAGTCGAGAATACCCTTTTTTAACAAAAGTGACAGTAATATTAGAGAAAAAATTGAAGGGATCATCACAAAATTAGACTCTGACTGAAGCTATATGAAATATCAAAGCACCATTTTCAAAAGCAAATTGAAAATAGGAATTTTTTTTACAAACAATGACAAAAATATTAAGCTATAGTCATGAAATTAACATATCTAAGAGAGACACCCAAGTAGTTATGGTGAGTATGAAACCCATACAGCTGACAATTTTGAAGAAAAATTTGAAAATGTAGAGTGGACTCCAATGGACAATCAGTACTATGAACAGCTCTGGGTGATTTTAATATTCCGTGCTGCAGAGTTTTATGATTTTTGTTTTTAGCAAATTGTTAACAGGTGTTGACTATTTGAAGTCCTCATGTCAAATCAATATCAAAATATTACCCTTGTTTAAATGACAAAATCTTCACCCACAGGCAATTCATAATAATAATTGTAGAATAGAATCACTATTGTAATATTCATATCCAATTTGGAGCAGTGCAGTGAGCTATAAATCGCTGATAAACAATTTGACTAGAACTACATACATGGAAGTTGTTTACAACATTGCTACTTGAAAGGAAATGACCTTCATTCATCTTTCCATGGCAATCCACGATCCATGCATGTCATTCGAAACAGCATTCTGGCCAATAGCATTGCAGCAACTCATTTTAAAATTCTTGACAACCCAAATGTTGCTGTTAGTCACTAGTAAATATTCAGTCAGAAAATACACTTCCATACGTATTATGTGTGTCTTTGATTAAAAAACATGATCAGAAATGCTCAAAATCTGGCAAGAGTTGCTGACAACTGTAATGTTCAAAATTCTGAAATAAAAATATATGGTCACTAATTTCTCCACAAAAACACCTCAAAAATTGAATCAAGAAATGGCAGACAAATACCATCATTTCTCAAAATTTTGAATAGGTGAACCTATACTAAAAAAATTGTAGTGTTATGAGAGCTACATATGGCTGTCACAAAATATAGGAGAAATTTGAATATTACTACAAGTGGTCCATGGACTAATGTATTTACATGAATTGCTATAGTAAAATGTTCCAAAATGGTCACTTTTTAAATTATTTTGCATATGTTTTATTGAAAACACATCCCAAACACTTTAAATATGAAGTAATTTCATGTATGTGAATCATTACACAACAATTTTTGATCGATACTGTGATCAAATTTGTCTGTGTTTTTATGATTTCCACACAATGAGAGTGTCTTAATCTCTACTGAGCTTCCTATCTCATTGATATCGAATCATAAAGGTAATATTATTATAAAATGGCAGACTGCAGAGTGTCTGTGTATTGTACCGGTACATTGTTTTTTATATGGATCTTCTTGTGCTGTTGAAGACTGTCTCCCAACTTACACGAGTAGTCACACTCATCGCATTGCCATGGTTTCTCATCAGAATGAACCACAACAATGTGTCTCTTCATATGTTTCCTGGCTGTGAAATATTTAAAGCAAATTGGACATTGCTCTCTCTTCTCTGTATGAACTGCGCGATGCAACTGAAGTTGTCGTGCACCTCTAAACTGTTTGCCGCAAATCTCGCACAAAAACGATGGCAATATGTGCTGGGATTTGACATGTAGTTTTAAGTTCACCTGATGCTTGAAAGCTTTGTTGCAGTATTTACAATGTACAAGTTCATCAAACTGATCATGTGCAGACGCCATATGATAACTGAGCTGGTAACTTGAAACTGAACTTTTCTGGCAAATAGGACAGCTCAGTAGACCTTCTTTTGTGTGCTGGCCTTTAATATGTTGTTTTAAATTAATTGCCGATGCAAAATGACCATCGCACAGTTCACATTTATATATCTTTCCATGTGTTTCTTCATGTTTTGCAAGCAACTTAGCAGTTACAAGTTTTTTATCACAGATACTACAGGTGTATTTCCTTTCTCCGTGAAGTAACTTGTGTTTATTCAAATCACTTCCAGAGTGGAAATTCTTCTCACATTCCTCGCATCTGTACTTCCTTTTCTGTTCTATCCCGTGCTCTTTCAACAAATGCGTTTGTAACGTATTGAAATAAAGGAAGTCTTTGTCACAAATTGTACACACTCTCAGTGGTATCTTTCTTGCGTGATTCTGCAGTTTGTGTTCTTGTAACTCCTGATGCATCAGCGGGCCCACACCACAATATCTGCACTTTCTTTTAGAGCAAGTATCCTCTGACTCATGGATTTTCCATGCTGCTAAAGTGGCAAACCACACGCCACATCTGTCACAAACAAATTCCTTTGAACTGTGGGATTCTCTGTACAACCTGCTCAGTCGCAAGATTTTTTCCTCAACTGTGAACTTTTGGAACTTCACACGTTTTGCCTTTGTTTGTCGATCACAATTATTACTGTCGCAGTTAATTGCATCTAGACCATCAACATTGCTAGCATTAAGTTTTTCATTTTCCATGGCCACAGAATCGTTGATTTCAAACATTTCTTCTACATGTAGTTCCTCTATTCCATCATTCCTATTTATACCTTCTATTTCAGACTCTTTTGTCTCCATGACAACATAGTGGCCTTCCTCATTCATGTTATTTGAGTAATCCTCTTCTTCCAGAGAGAATTTGTTTGGATCGTTTTCACACTTCACAACTACCAGGCTTGACCCTATCCCTTGTGATTCATTTCCATGGAAATTGAATTTTTGTTTTTTTACATCAGCCGTTTCCATACCTTGTTGATGTTCTGATATCTCTGTTGGATACAGCTCGGTTTTTGACTCGGGTATCATCGTAGGGTGTAGGACAGGATTTGAATCCAGATAGATATCACTTGACATTGCTGGAAATATTCCCACATCATGTGATCTGACTTTGAGTCCAGTTGTGTGATACTCTTTGACAAAATCCACACTTCCCCAGTATTCAGATGCTTTGCCGTTTTCTGCGACAATGATGAAAACATTTGCTCGGAATTTAGAAGTCAAATCCAATGCCTGAAACAAAATGAATACATGAATATATTAAACTTTAAGACAAACAGCATCAAGAGTTGAAAATAAATACGTTTTGAGTTAAGTCGTTACCTTAGAAACTTGCACACTCTGGTGTAAACACAACTAATTGTCTATTGAATACTTGAAGCATTCAAGAAACTAGTGGATGTGAGGATAGACACTTAACCTTTTCATAACCAGTTCTCTCTTGTTGTTAGTAGGATACGTTTAGATTACATCATTGTTAATGTCAAAGGTCACTTGATGTAACCCACAATGCTTTAGGGCACTTGTAATAAACATGGCGTTCTCCAAGTAACACTTACTGTGTGAATCTGAGTCATTTCTTAGTCTACCGTGCCTATCAGGCATAACATGGTGTCAGAAGTACAAGAAGCCAGCGACAAGTATTCATCTCAGCACTGACAGGATCTGAGAGTAGTGAAGCACCAGAACGTGACAGATTGATGAATGAAGTCGATCTTCCGTAGAGGTTTCTAAAATTCGCGCCATACCACGAGTCTGACAGAAAGTCGTCATATTTGAAACCAAGTCAAGCCGGACAGTCGGGAACACATGTACATCGATTTAACTTAATTCTAAGTGAGTACAAGTAGTACGATACTGAACATTATTGTCAACTACAAGGCCAGTTAGTAAATCATTTTCCGACTGATAGATCAGCTTACGTGTTTACAAGCAGTCAATCTATTTATAAGCAATGGCGACATACCAGATACCAGCGCCACAGCCCATGAACGTAAAGGGTGGTGCACTATGCAGTGTTATGGGTATGGATTGTGTCAAAATTTAAGAATATTCTCACGACATTATTCAATGAAGATAAGAAAGATCCAACAAGAATTCTAAAAGAGTTAGGGGATCATTTCATGCCACAAAAACATTTATTGTTTGAGCGTGTGAAATTTGGATATGCAAACCAGACTGAACATGAAACAGTTGATCAGTATGTCATGCGGCTACGTCAACTATCAGAATCGTGTGAGTTTGATAACCTAAATGAAAGTTTGATAAGAGACAGACTAGTCATGGGTACTCACGATTCAAATACAAGAGACAGACTACTACGTGAACGTCCAGTCCCAGATTTGAAAAGGTGTATCGAAGCCATGAGAACTAATGAACTGTCCAAAGTGCACAGAGAACAAATAAAAGTGCAATGGGTGAAACACAAGACAACACAGTGCATGCACACAAAAAAGCAAATCACGAATGTATAGCAAATCAGCTAATGTCAAGAAGCAAGGCAATATTGATAAATGCAGGTATTGCAGTTTGAGCCATTTGAGAGATAAGACAAAATGTCCAGCGTTTGGGAAAACTTGCAACAAATGTGGCAAACCAAACCACTTCGCATCATG